CTATCCATCTATCCATCTATCCATCTATCCATCTATCCATCTATCCAAATGTGCACAACGGTATTAAAGATGGTGGGTGATCGCTGGAGAACAGCATCAGCACGACTTCCATACCAGAACGAAATGTAAAGATTGAGCCTCATGGGTATGGCTTCTTAGGTCTGCGTAAGACACATTTTGGATGTGCTCCTCTTTTGATAGTTACAGATGTGAAATCTGAATTGGGAGGAGCTATATTTAACTTGTTTCTACTGCTACCAATCTCTGTCTGTCTTCGATACTTTGTAATTTTACTCGAGTATTGAAGTAGTTTAAGATGTCTACATGTCACTTTGTATTTGACAAGATCCAAGCAAGACAGCTGAATAACAGGATCTCAGAGTTAAGAGGGGCGTGGGGTTGAGTAATCGTGGTAATTGTGACTTGGAGCAAAGACTGCATGTTCTCCCTGGCCAGATTAGGGTTCTAGATATCCTCTAAGAGTAAGCCAGTTTTTTAAATTTTTGCTTTAAAACCTGAGATTGGTAGGTGTTATTGAATTGAAGGATTTATTATCACTAGCATTTTACAGCAAATAATACAGTAAAATACTGTGAAAAGCCTTGACTGTCACCCCAATCTGGCCGCCATTTTGAATAGTTTAAGATTTAAGAGTAAAAAGATAGACTCTTAGTTACATCTTAGTTCTGCCACCTCCAATGAGCCCTGAGTTTGCTCACCAGCAATTACCTGCACTGCCACCCCCCTCACCCCACCGCCTTGTTGCCATAGCAGCTGTTGCCTCGCCAACACCAGGAGTCCCTGGCTCCACTGCCAGGACAGGCTGCCACTGTGCCAAGAGTCCCACTGTGGCCATCGTCCTCTGAGATATGCTTTGCAGGTGCCACTATCTTGTAGAGTCCACTGCTGCTGCTGTCTCCAATTGCTGGGAGGAGCCACATGCACCACCAACATCTCTGACCGCCAGGAGGCTGACACTACTCTGCATGGCTTTTGCAGCTGTGCCGATGCTGCCGACTAACCAGCCAAAGAAAAGAATGGAGGGAAAAATAAAGATCAGAAGTAAAAAAAGAAAGCAGATGGGACCAGAATAGCCCCAGGCAAGAGCTCGCACACAACTGTGTTACTCTGCTGCCATCTTGGAGATTCAAAAGTTTTTTTTTGAGGTATTTAAGGATGAGTTTAAGTTACTGATCAGCCATGAATGGTGGAACAGGTTCAAGGAGCTAAATGGACTCCTGCTGTTTCCATAGTCTAAACTAGTGTACAAATAAACAAGCTGCCTACAGTTTTTCCAGCTTTTATCTTTTTTGTTCTTGGGAATGCACTCCATCAGTACAGTGACCTGTTTCAAGTATTTGCAGATGAGGCTATGCAAATCACGTTGCCTGCATAGCCCCTACTCCATCTCTTTCCACGTTTACTAACCTGGCAGATATTTATGTTTGGTCATTCGCACCCCTTTATAGTGGAAGCATTGCCCAGGTGGAGTATAGTGTCGTTCTGTCTCGTGTGCAATGACTCTTGATCTCCGTACAATATTTGCTATTCTTGCTTTTCTTATCTCACTCATTCTATAATGACTCATGGGACTACCTTGCTTGGTTCCATGCTTGGCAATAAAGTTTAAAATTATAGGTATAACACCTCCAATGATTTATTTTCTATCCCTGCACCATCAACTTGAAGGTACCTCAAGAACTGTCTTTGTCCCTTCTCTGATATAACAAGGTGTAGAGCTGGATGAACACAGCAGGCCAAGCAGCATCAGAGGAGCAGGAAGGCTACGTGTAAAATGATTCCCAACTTAAATCCTTCCCTCAAAGTACATTAGTACTTATCTCAAGCCTTCTACTCTAGTCTAATTAGTTCTACCTGTTGGACATGCAGTCTTGTTTGCGTTGCCTCTATCTCCAGTACTTTGTCAGCCATAAACTTTGGTGCTTCTCAAAATTCCATACACTTTAATCCTCCCTGTCTCTTTCCCTCCCCACCTCACAACATGCATACACTTGGACATTGTCTCTGTCTCTGTGCAAAATAATTTGTTAACAACCTCTTATCATTTTTGAATGAAATAAACCTTTGCTTTTGCTATGGAGAGTAGTTCATAGTTTTTGGTGAAATCTGTCTCTGAATGAACCAGAGGCCACAATCTAGACAATGACTGGGGAAGTGACGAGAATTAAATCAAAGTTAGAGTATGTGGAAAGGGGCCAAGTATAATAGCTTTAATTTTCCTCATGTTTAATTGGAGTGAGGGTGCCTGAAGACGGAATACAGACTTTTGCTCTGATGTTTAAAATATCAGCAGGGTTGGGAGAGCTGGTGGAGCAGCAAAGTTTATCATTCTATGCATATGAGGCATGTAACCCTCCTTCTGATTTTTAGTGCGTAGATGAGTTTAAGGGAACCATATCCCCTCATTTGATGGGTTGAAAATGTTCTGTGAACAGTAGTTTCTGTCTATATTTGCATAGGTAAGAATGAAATCAGTAGAAGCATTGGACCACAGAAGAGAGATAAGGCAAAAGAGGAAAATGATGTGGTTGACCATTTCCTAAGGTTAATGAGAGCACAGAATGGATA